GTGACAGAGTCAGTCCATAAGTTCCGCAATGAGCAGGAGTGGGTACCAATTCTTCACCGTGATGGCATTCAGTCATCGGTTGTCGCGGCGACTAGGCGCGTAGACTCGGGTCGACGTTCGGCGACGATTCCGTAGGCAAGCGGCAAGGAGCCAAAAGGAAAAGAGAGAGGTAGAGAGGGATAAACGTAGCAAGAAACTCGATGAGGGCAGAGCGGAGGCCGGCACAAGGGCACAAGACCTACGAAAGCTAGTCTTCACGCAGATAGCGACAGACTAGTCCCAATGACCAAGTTATACATTAGCAATCGAAGAGAGATACAACGCTATGATCACTCACCTAGTCCCAATGACCAAGAGGTCGAGATGGGGACTAGGGAGTGCCTAGGGGGGTCCTTATATACTAGAGGGGCTGCTTAGCAACCAAGGACAAGGTGCGAGAGCGAGGCAGTGAAGATGACAAAGGGAGAACAAAGGGCGAGAAGAAAAAGGCAAAGGCATGGCGATCACGGGAACGTAGCATGCGGCTGTGGGAACGTATCTACAGTATTCAAACTGGGATGAGCTAGGAAAGGAAACGGTCCGAAAATGGAAGGTGGGCGTCAAAGGGAGGGGAATGGGCGGCAAAAAGGGGTGTCTGTCCAACGTCCGTGACATCGGTAGTCTTGGACCGGTCGCAAACTGCCATCCTTCTTTTTGACAAAGAAGAAGGGTGAGGACATTGGGGACTTTGATTCATGAATGTAACCTTTGGCCAGATTCTCCTAAAGGAACTTGTCAAGCTTGACTTGCTCACTGGGCGACAACGGGTACAACCTCGAGTGAAAGGTCTGTGCACCGGAAACCAGTTCAATGGTGTGGTCATAGGGGTGGTGCTCTGGCAGTCTGTCTGCCACCTCCTTTGAGAACATGCGCATGTGCTCCTAGTACTCCGGTGGAACCATCTTGTCAACAGTCTAAACCTTGTGTTTGGCATACTCCTGCTCTGCAAGTTGCTGCAAGTAGGTGTGGCTCGCTGAAACGAAGAGCTGAGGTGTGCCGCGGAGCATTCGGCCTTTGCGCCAGGCATCAATGAGAGACTCCTCGGTACCGTCCCATTCCTCCTCTGCAGGAGGTAGGAGAGGTTTGTCCTCAGCTTTGTTGACCATAACTGTGCCACAGATGCATCCCACTGTTCGCGTTTTCTTTACCCGTGGAGACCTTGTGCACACCGTAGGCCGTACCCCCGTATCATGCGCCTCAGTCTCTACTGGTTTGGATGCCTTATGGGTCGCTGGGCAGGTGTCGGGGCATCGTGACAGGTGCAGCGAACCACGTTCTCAGTCAATTTCCGAGTTGTGTTCGTGTAGCCAGTCTAGCCCAATGATCATGTCCTCCTCTCTAATGTCTGTAACAATGAATGCGACCTCTTCCGCATGGTCACCAATCCTCATGGTGAGAACGGCCACCTCAGTGATGGTGCCGTCTTGATTCTCTGATCCATCAATGTTGTATAGAGGAATAGGCTTTACTAGCTTCCTCGTCGTGACCTGGTTCCATGCCACAAATCATCTGTGGAGGAACTTCATGGTTGCGCCAGAATTGACCATGGCCACCAACTTCTTGCTCCACTGCTTGCCGCTCAGTGGTATAGGGATGTGGAAGTGTTGACCTGCATGGTCGACTTCATAGATTAACGATGATTCCAGTACAGCATAGCGACCATTGGTACACGAGCCCGCACGCGCAGCATCCAGTGTGGCTTGGATCAAAAACCCTCCTTCTTCTTGGCGAGACTGACCACAGCAATATGATTGCTGAGCTCCTTGAGCTGTGAATGGAGAGCGACCAGCTCATCTGAGGTCGAGGGGTTCGAGGATGGGGTGGGGTTGGGCGGAGTGGCGGTGGATGTGGCTGCTTGCTGTCCTCGCGGGGGCTTCTTGCAGTTTCGCTGGATGTGGCCCTTCTCGCTGCAGTTGAAGCAGGATCGTTCCTCAGATCTATGTTGGTCCGCTGCCACTTGTTTACCACAGCGGCCCCAGCCCTTGGTTTTGGGCATGGCTTCCACGTGTTCGGCCAGCTGCTGGTCTATGCGAAGGGCGACCTTCTGCGCTTTCTTCAGCGTGTCAATCTTATGCGCCATGACTGCAAACTCATTTTGAATCTTGTATAGCAGGCCGTCCACATAGTGTGCCCGCTTGTCCTTGTCGGAGAGTGGAGTGCGCACTGCAATGGCATTAAAGCTAGCCGTATAGTCCTTGACCATGCCGAGCTTGTGCGATGCCTTGCACAGCTTGACGAGTTTGGTGAGTGCAGCCTTCTTGTCGTCGACCACGCAGAAGTGGGCCTTAAAGGCCGTCTCAAAGACATCCACACTTGACCAAATGACCTTGCCATCTGCGAGGTCAATGATGTGGGGCCCAGCCCATTGAGCGGCGTCGTCCATCAACTTGTTTAGCACCATGATCTAATCGAGATTGGCCACAATTAATGATGCTACCAGCTGTGTATAGTAGAGCTTGGTCATGGTAGCAAAGCAGAGTCTGGCCTAAGCTGTCACGGACGTTGGACAGACGCCCCTTTTTGCCGCCCATTCCCTTCCCTTTGACGCTCACCTTCCATTTTCGGACCATTTCCTTTCCTAGCCCATCCCAGTTTGGATACTGCAGATACGTTCCCACCACCGCATGCTACGTTCCCGTGATCGCCATGCCCTTGCCTTTTCTTTCTCGCCCTTTGTTCTCCCTTTGTCATCTTCACTGCCTCGCTCTCGCGCCTTGTCCTTGGTTGCTAAGCAGCCCCTCTAGTATATAAGGACCCCCCTAGGCGCTCCCTAGTCCCCATCTCGACCTCTTGGTTTTTGGGACTAGGTGAGTGACCATAGCGTTGTATCTCTCTTCGATTGCTAATGTATAACTTGGTCATTGGGACTAGTCTGTCGCTGTCTGCGTGAAGACTAGCTTTCGTAGGTCTTGTGCCTTCGCGCCGACCTCCGCTCTGCCCTTGTCGAGTTTTCTGTCACGTTTATCCCTCTCCCTCTCTCTTTTCCCTTTCGGCTCCTTGCCACTCGCCTACGGGGTCGTCGCCAAACGTCGACCCGAGTCTACGCACCTAGTTGCCGTGACATTAGGTCGAGATCTCTACCCCGGTGCTGACGCTCTGAACAAGAGGGTCCCCGCCGCCGCTACATTGTCTCCCCCACCCTGGACTGCACCGGCAGACTTCACGTGTGGGACACAGAAGACCAAGACCACTGTCACCGACAGAAGGACCTAGACGACGGACTCTGGTACTGGGTACCGTGCGAGCAAAACCCCTGCCCGAACTGTCATCACCGTCCTGCGCGGATCAACTGGAACGCCTTTGCGGACGAGTTCATCCCAGTTCCTGACTCCCCCGTTGCTGAGTCGCCCACGACTCGATCCCCCATCCCCGGTACTCTGACTGACGAGCTTGAAGTAGCGCTACTCATCGCGCTTCCCCCATCCCCTATCATCCCCCCAACCCGTCCACCGTCCACTCCACCCATCATGGGACAACAAGGCGGACAACCGCAGACGACAGGCCCCGCCAACAACCCCCAGCAGACCCAACCGGGCACCCAGACGGCAACGCAACCCCTGGACCCCATGACGGTATTACTCCAGTCGATGACTCTCCTCACCCAGTCCATGGCGCAGCTCGCAAACTCGACCACCGGGACCAACAGTCTGAAAGCGGTCCAGAAGCCCTCCCCCTTCAAAGGCGAACAAGGGGGTGAGGCATGACATTTCCTGGCAGCGTTCACCCTCTGGGCCATGTCCCAAGGTTCGACGCTCAATCACGTTGATGCTATGGGCAACGCGATCAGCGCGCGTGATGACCAATGGATTCGGGCGGTCCTCTCCTTCATGCAGGACAGTGCAGCTCTCTGGGCCACCCCAGCGATGGAGGAGATCATGCAGGGCACTACTTCGTTCAAAGGCTCGTGGACGGAGTTCCGCACCCAGTTCAAGGCCCGTTTTGAGACAGTCGACGAGGCGGTCGACGCGAAGGAATGCCTCCGCACGTTGTGGCAAGGCTCTATGACTGTCCCAGAGTACGCCGCACAGTTCAACGAGCTCTCCACCCGCACGGGCTACTCCAAGGCCGACCTCCGAGACCGCTTCTACGAACACCTGGCGGACTCCATCAAGGACGAGTTGGTGCACACGGTGAGGCCCATCGCTTCTCTAGAGGACCTCATCATGGTCTCCTCCGACATCGACGTCCGTGTCCGCCAACGCCGTGCTGAACGAGAACGCCAGCACGGACGCACCACCACCCCCACCACCGCGGCCAAGCCGGCTGTTCCGCTGCATACCACCCCCTTCACGCCGCCTGCCCGAGACCCGAACGCAATGGACATCGACACGACCCGTACGCGCGAAGAGTTCAACCGCCTCATGTGCGGCAAGTGCTACGGTTGCGGGTCTACGGTGCACGTCAAGAAGGACGGTGGCCACGACCGGGACATCTGCGGCTACTGTCGTCGCGTAGGCCACCGCGAGACAGTGTGCATGGATAAGTTCCTGAAGAAGCCCAGTTCGCAGAAGCTCGCCGCCACGGAGGAAGGACCTGAGGAGCCCCAAGTCGCAGTGTTGACATCAACGTCCGCAGATGCGGGAGCGACCAACGCTCTCATCGCGCAGCTCATGGAGCAGCAGAAGGCCCTCGCTGATCAGCTCGCCTCTCTGCAGAAGTCTTTTTAGAGCGGGCGCGTGCGGAAGCTGCCGCAGCGGCGCCCTCCGGTACAAGTATGGACTCTTTGCCTCCCCAGATTCCTGACCCCTGCCTGTACGATAGTGTTAGTTCGTGTATTATTCCCAAATTAAACCCGTCTAGCTCGCATTTCCGCGTCAGCGTGATACTTAAAGGCAGAAACCGTAGTGTACGTTCCGCAGCTATAATAGACAGTGGGGCAACGGCCCTTTTCATCAGCCACCGTTTCGTAAAGAAGAACAACGTCTATTTACATAGGCTAGCTAGAGACGTCCCCCTCTACAACATCGACGGCTCCAAGAACAGTGCAGGTAGCATCTCCCATTACGTTAGATTACAAGTACTTATGGGCGACTACACGGAATGGCTCGAGTTCTTAGTTACAGACCTGGGCCCAGAAGACGTCGTATTAGGCTTACCTTGGCTTCATAGGGTCAACCCGGACATTGACTGGCAGGAAGGCACCATGGAGGTTGGTGCGGAGGAAACGGAGGCCGAGGCGGAATGGAAACCTGGTATTGAACGGATCGCCGCCAACCGGGTGCAGCGAAGGAAATGGTGGAAGGCCAAGGTTCTGGAGGACACGACTGAGGAGTTATGGTGCGCCGCTGGGTACACCTACTCCACAGAGCTCGCACGGAAGGCCAACCAGGACAAGCCCAAACGCACGTTTGAAGAGATCGTCCCGGAAGAGTACCGACAGCACTCGAAGGTCTTCTCTGAGACCGAATCGGAGCGCCTTCCAGAGCACAAGCTGTAACGGATCGTTCATTATCTTATCTAATCTACGTAGTTAATCTACATCTTGTATCTACATCTGGATCGTCATGGTGATCGGCGCTGATCCATCTGGATCCGCCCGACGTGGCGAAGGCTTCTCAGCCTTTCACCACATCCACCATAGTATACGCCCTCTCAATCTAGAGATTGGTTCAGTGTACTTTGGACTTGTGTGAATCAGGCGACACCCGTAACATTATACTTTTTTACACTTCATACCACGAATACGTGGGTTTCTAGATTGTATTGTGCGTTAGGCACCTACCATGACGGAACCCTCGACATCACACGCGACACACCGTGAGACCGCGAGCTCGACTCGAGCTTCGCCTCTGAGGCGGTCTCCCCGAGACCCGGACGCTTCGTCAGGAAGCTCTATCCCCGGAGGTCCTAGCTCGTCTGGCAGACGTGCGGACTCACCCCGAACCGGCGCTCCCCTAAGGTCCACAGGGACCCGCCGGTTCTCTGAGGACATAGCAAGTAGTTCGACGCCTACTGCTAGTCGCCGACAGGAAGTTGCTCCCGAGAATAGCTCAGTTCGAGCAAGCCTGGCGATATCGCAGGGTGCGGTAAACCCGACGT